TGGGGCTGAGTTTTAATGACTCTAGCGAGCGACGGTGGCACAGGAGTTAAGTGCTCGCCCGTAATCGGAAGGTTGCTGGTTCGAGCCCCGCTCAGTCTGTCGCTGTCGTTGTGTCCTTGGGCAAGACACTTAACCCACGTTGCCTGCTGGTGGTGGTCGGAGGGACTGGTGGCGCCAGTGCTCGGCAGCCTCGCCTCTGTCAGTGCGCCCCAGGGCAGCTGTGTCTACATTGTAGCTCACCCCCACCAGTGTGTGAATGTGTGTGTGAATGGGTGAATGACTGTGTTGTAAAGCGCCTTGGGGGGTTTCAAGAACTCTAGAAGGCGCTATATCAAATACAGGCCATTTACCATATTTAAGGAAATAGGCCACGCCCACAAACTTCATCTGTCTTTTTCTCTTGGGGGTCAGACTAGGATCACTCACCAGAAGTTTCGTAGCGATATCACGATAACTGAAGAAATGAGAGGCAAACGTATTTCCATGGCGTGATGGCGATTTTCGCCATGCTCCCAAAGCCCCGCCCTTTTTTGAAACCTGCCAGTACTGGATACCAAGTGACCTCACGTTGTCTACTGCTATTTGCCAGAGATTCCTGCTGATTGGGTAAAAGGAGTCCAGTAGGGAGCTGTGAAAAAAAGAGTGGCGTGGCGACAGGTCAAAGTTTGAGGCTTAGCCACGCCCACACCTTTCAACTTTTGAAAAATCCGACGGTTGAATTTTTTCCTCTATGTGTTAAGAGTAAATAGCAGAAGTTTGAACGCGATTGGTGAAAAGGGTGACGGAGCATCACTCTCCAAACAACGTGTGCGAAAACCACTAAATCGCGTACTTGGACCAAAATGGCCGACTTCCTGTGCGACTTTGCACATGGCTCCAAGATACTTTTTTGTAGGTCCTGAGACACCACATTAGTGTACCAAATTTCGTAATCCTCAGTCAAAGCATGGCTTGGGGCTGACAGTTTTAATGGTCCTAGGGGGGGCTATTTAAGAGAATAGGCCACGCCCACAAACTTCAGCTGTCTATTTCTCTTGGGGGTCAGACTAGGATCACTCACCAGAAGTTTCGTAGTGATATCACGATAACTGAAGAAATGAGAGGCAAACATATTTCCATGGCGTGATGGTGATTTTCGCCATGCTCCCAAAGCCCCGCCTTTTTTCAAAACCTGCCAGTACTGGAGACCAAGTAACCTCAAGTTGTCTACTGCTGTTTGCCACAGAATCCTGGTGATTGGGTAAAATGAGTCCAGTAGGGAGCTGTGAAAAAAAGAGTGGCGTGGCGACAGGTCAAAGTTTGAGGCTTAGCCACGCCCACACCTTTCAACTTTTGAAAAATCCGACAGTTGAATTTTTTCCTCTATGTCTTAAGAGTATATAGCAGAAGTTTGAAGGAGATTGGTGAAAAGGACGATGGAGCATCACTGTCCAAACAATGTGTGCAAAAACCACTAAATCGAGTATTTGGACCAAAATGGCCGACTTCCTGTGCAACTTTGCGCTTGGCTCCAAGAGACTTTTTTGTAGGTCCTGAGACACCACATTAGTGTACCAAATTTCGTAATCCTCAGTCAAAGCATGGCTTGGGGCTGACAGTTTTAATGGCTCTAGGGGGCGCTATTTAAGAAAATAGGCCACGCCCACAAATTTCAGCTGTCAATTTCTCTTGGGGGTCAGACTAGGATCACTCATCAGAAGCTCCGTAGCGATATCACGATAACTGAAGAAATGAGAGGCAAACGTATTTCCATGGCGTGATGGCGATTTTCGCCATGCTCCCAAAGACCCGCCTTTTTTTGAAACCTGCCAGTACTGGACACCAAGTGACCTCAAGTTGTCTACTGCTATTTAACAGAGATTCCTGCTGATTGGGTAAAAGGAGTCCAGTAGGGACCTGTGAAAAAAAAGAGTGGCGTGGCGCCAGGTCAAAGTTTGAGGCTTAGCCACGCCCACACCTTTCAACTTTTGAAAAATCCGACGGTTGAATTTTTTCCCCTATTTCTTAAGAGTATATAGCAGAAGTTTGAAGGCGATTGGTGAAAAGGGCAATGGAGCATCACTCTCCAAACAACCTGTGCGAAAACCACTAAATCGCGTACTTGGACCAAAATGGCCGACTTCCTGTGCGAATTTCCACTTGGCTCCAAGAGACTTTTTTGTAGGTCCTGAGACACCACATTAGTGTACCAAATTTCGTAATCCTCAGTCAAAGCATGGCTTGGGGCTGACAGTTTTAATGGTCCAAGGGGGAGCTATTTTAGAAAATAGGCACGCCCACCAGATGTTCACATCAGATCTTTTGGGGGGCCAGACTAGGATCACTCACAAGAAGTTTCGTGACGATATCTTTAGAAATGACGAAATGGGAGGCAAACGTAAGGCCACGGCGGTACGCCTGACTTCGCCGCGCCGCCACAGCCCCGCCCTCTGCCGAAAACTCCCATAAAGTGACGCCACGCAACCCCCACTTGTCTTGAGTTACCAGCTACATATTTGTGGTGATTAAGTGAAATGGGGCAATTTGGGACCTTTCACAGTAAAACTTGACCTTTTTGGTCCTGAGGGGGCGGGGCTTGTATGATGTCATCATCTGACCACTCAATTTACTTTGTGGGTAGATGACGAATGACCACAGAAAGTTTGGTAACTATTCCATTCAATTATGAAGTTATAGCAATTTAAATTTTTTTGGCGAGTAGTCAAACTTCGAGGCCTGGCCCCGCCCCTTCAACATATACGAAAAGTCAGAATCTTTGTCTCATTTTGTTCGCCCATCCCTTCTGAGCAATTTTACACAATTTTTGAGACGATCGTGCGAAAAATGATCGAGCAATCCAATCAGAAACTGACCCTAAAAACGGCAAAAACGGCTAAAAATCGCCATTTCAACCCAAAATGGCCAACTTCCTGTTTGATATTGACCATGCTTGCAAGAGACTTTTCTGTGCGGACTGTTGAGTACTACAAGTGTACCAAATTTCATAACTGTACGATAAACTAAGCTTTATGGAGAGGGTTTTTTTTTTACTTTCTAGGGGGCGCTGTTCAGCCATTTTCTTTGCGATTTTTTTGCAACCTTTAAAATATCAAATTTTTCACCAGGCCTGACAAGTTTGCAAAATATTGTGAGTTTTGGGGTATGATAAGGTCCCCAAAAGGCCATTCAAAGCGGGCTAAGAATAATAAATAAGATATAAACAGAGCAAAAACAAGAGGCCTTCGCAGTGCCTTCGCTGCTCGGGCCTAAAAATAGAAAACAAATACATTCAGGAAAAAAAATATTTCATTTTTTTCTGGACTTTTATAATTTAATCAAGAGAGTGGAAAACATTTTTAATTCCCCTTTACTTTATTTTGCTTTTGAGTGACGCTAATTTGTGGCCGTAGAATCATCTGTTTTAAATAGCTTTCCTTTTTTATTAGAGGTCTTAAAAAGTTAATTAAAAACAACTAAAATAAATCCAATCAAGTAATGCTCGGCACATGTTGCTTCCTGATCACTAGAATGATTTCTGCCTTTTTCTTCCACCTGAGGGAACACAAATCCCAAAACAGACTTCAGTAGCAGAATATCACCTGTTTACCTCGACCTTCAACCCTATTTTATTGCATAATTCATAGCTTCCTCGTCTCTGATGCGAACCCTTGTTAAAATCTGTATTGAGCTTTATTTTAAAGGCCCCATATCATGCTGTTTTAAACCTTTGAGAGCAAAGGTAGGCACAGTATATGATAAAATATTACCGTTGGCGTATTGAGATGTCATTTATCTTGAATATGACTTATTTTCATCAGGCTGAATCTATACCCGGAAATTAAATGAGAACTACACACAGACAGGTCACAGCCGGGATTCAAACCTGCAACCTTCTCACAGTGAGGCAACAGCGCTACCACTTTGTTTGGAGCCCACACCTGCTCCAAACAAACGTGCCTACAACAGCATCCTAGACGAGTTAGCTGCTGTGTTGGCTATGGCAGTCCATTGGTTAAGGCACCCAGTCTAGCGCAATAACCACTGGACTTCCAGGTCTGCTATACATGCCACAGGTGGTCTAAGCCACATATCCTACACTGGCCAGAGGAGGTTTCAGACCAAAGACTAGCTCCCAGGAAGGGAGCAGAGCCTGATGGGGAGGTTAGTTTCCACCCATGGTTTCCGCTCACGCTTTACAATATTTCTAAAGTAAAACTCAAAATTTGCAGCTGAAACAGGGAAATGTATGAATGCAGCCAAAAATGTTTTTTTTTCAAGAGGAAACAATATCACATGGTAAAAAGCTCCCTAAAGTGGATTTTCTATGATAGGGCCCCTAAAGTTAAAACCTAACAAAGTTATAAAGAGGTCCGTGAGTGCTCTGATAAATCTATTGATTCCAACAGTTGGCAGTAAACCGATCAGCAGTGATGAAGCAGCCATCAGACTGCTGTGTTTCACTTCATATAACAAGGAAACCTTTTCCTTGTCTTTTTTTCCATCTTTTCATGTCCTGCCACTGCTCCTAATGGGCGCACACCATCAACTTATTACTCAGGCAGCTAAAACCTTTATTCCTGTTTTTTATGTGGTGCCTGTGAGCCACCAAGCTCAAAGCAGACTGAACAAATAAAAGGATCAGAAGGCCATCCAGCCCTGATCAGAATAAAAAGGAAAAAAGTTTCATCAGCTTCACCATTTTTTGGGAGAAAAAAATAAATAAAGTAAACAACCATGCATGCATACAAAGCAATGCTGCTGCGCTGATCCAGTGACAGAAGGAAATGTGTTGTGGATTGTTTTGCCCTAGAAGATAATGTTGGCTAAAAGCTGCAGCTAATTGCCTAAAATGTAAATTGACTTCTAAATGAGCTGCAAATGTTAATTGCCCCATCCATTTTATTATGGGCGTACTCAGAAAATAGAATTATTTCCTATCTAAAAGGTGTTTTTCTGTCTTTACATTAATGTTGCCAAGTGCCTGAACAGATTAGATAAGAAATAAATGAGTTATGAGTTACCTGATGCCTTTAATTTGTGCAATGCTGTGGTGGGAGATCCTGGACAGAGCAGAGATGACCTGAAATAAACAGGAGAAAGGTAAATGATCAACAGGATTTCTAATCTTGTTTAAATAATGTGATCTTTAGAGGAAATTATAAGAGTAAATGAAATAATTATACTGACATAAATGTGATTAAAAACATTAAAACAACACTTTCAAGCATCTAAAATGAGATAAGAGTACTTCAAAAAGCAATTGACAGTAAATCTTATCAAACAGCCAGGCCATTAAGTGCAAAATGAAACAACAATTTTAAAAGCCAAAACACTGATTGCAGCACTGATGGTGTGTGTTTCTTAGCAACGCCTCTTGAGTAAATGCAGCATTAGAGCGACCATAATAAGCAGACCACAATAAAAGTCCAGAAGTGTGCAGTCACAAATCGATGTTATCCACTTCTGTTTGATCAGTCTGTTTGACACCCCACCCCCGCTTTTTAAATCCACAGCAACACCTTCATTTGTCTGTGTGTCAAAATCCAGTTAGGCCCTTGTTTTACAGAAATTAAATAGGATTTTGTAAAACTACAAGACTTGATCTGCTAAATAAATGGAGAAAATGGGAATGACCAAGGCAAGAACCAATTACAATATAATAAAGGGCTAGATGACTGCCTAAAAATAGAGGAAGAGCACTGGGCCTAGAGAGGATCCACTGCCTAAATGACCCTTCAAGAGTGCATTTTAGTTTTCAGCCATTAACCTGTAATGGTTTTAATGGTTTTGGTTAAAAATGCATCCCTGTTAAGACTTAACTCTGCCTACGAGACACACAAATCTGGGTTTATGGTTGAACGCTACAGATGGTGTACTTCCAGGTTAATCCAGGGAATCACCAACCCGGAAACACATTTGACAACACACAACATAAACCCCGTCTCCCACGCCTCATTACCCACTCTTAGGTGCATTTTGGGAGCCGACACCGTGACAATGCCAGATGTCTCCTTGACGGGGGAGGAGACAATTGTTATCTCAACCCCCTTTTCTAGGCAGGTGTGTCGTCCACAACCTCTCATTAAGCTCCCTCTAGTCTAAAACACACAATACGACATGGTGGTGTTTATCTCTGAAGTTGAGCCTTTGCTAATGGCTCTGATGAATAGAAGCCCATTACTTTGGGATAGTGGGGCACTTCTATGCTATTGTTGTTGGCCAAAGCCTTTAACTCCCTCTATTCAAGGTCTTCTTGTGTTGAATCGCTTACTGAAAAGGAAGAGATTATATGCAACACTGCTATGGGGTGCATATGCACCACCTTCATTTGCATCTAAACACCCTAATGGAGGGAGACCTAAACAGAGCTCTTGTGGTGTTGAGTGGGTTACAATATCTGTAATGACAAGTAGTGGTTTAATGGAGCCACTTCAACATTGCAAAACTCCAACAAAACTAAGACCGGTAGGTGGATCTGCTTTGTTCCTGGTTGGTTAGCCTTAACCCTGCACAGCATGTTCATTTCAGGAAATCTCTTCCTAGTTCTCTTTGAGATGTAGAAGGAAAGCGGCAATGTTATTTGAACACAGACTTTCAAAAGTGTATTCCCCGGGCTTTCCATTGGATACATCGGAAGGACGTAACATAACTGTTCCACGAGGTCACAAAATCACAGGATATTTGCAAGATCACATGTGATTTGGGGACTTCACACCTTAACAAACAAGGACAAATATGTCAGCATGTAACCAAAAAGGTCTGTGGTTTATTTTCTGTTCTATTCAGTTTGGCAGTTGAGGTTTCACAGGTAGTGACGTATGTTTTTAGTAGGAAATATGCACATGACTTTTATTCTGAAAGTTTCTGGATGTTTTACGCTGCTTTTGTGTTTGACTTCCTGTCTGGCCTGATCTGAAGTAGTGAGCTAGACGCACTCTGGAAGCATAGCACATCAAATATAGACTCAAAATGTAAGCAATGCATACCTACGCTTCTGGGATGCTTTGCATCTGGGGGAAACGGACCTATCCGCTATAATGGCAGCTAATTGCTGCGTACTACATTTTGCTGATGTTACGTGATGCATTTTGCTTCCAGTGAAACAAAATCAGAATCAGAATCAGAATCCGAATAGGTTTATTGCCATTGTCAGTGAACAAACAATTCACAACCTAGGAACTTGCTTCGGTACTAATGTGCTACAGATAACATGAATAATATAATTAAAAATAGAATAAAATATAATAAAAAAAAAACTAGAATAAAACTTTCAGCTATAAAAAATGGCAGGTAATGGTAACATGGCCGATAACGTGACTTTGTGTCAAGTACAGAAGACCAGCATGGTTGTGTGTTTATAATCTATTCACAAGTCTAACGGCAGATGGAAAGAAGCTTTTCTTATGGCGGGAGGTTCTGGTCTGGATGGACCGTAACCTCCTGCCTGAGGGAAGCGGCTCAAAAAGTCTGTGACCCGGGTGCGAAGGGTCAGCTGCTATCCGACCTGCACGCCCCCGAGTTCTGGAGACGTACAGGTCCTGGAGAGATGGAAGGCTGCAGCCAATCAAATGCAGCCAATCAAAATGCTTCCCATTCAGGGTTTCCCCCAGCGCTTTATAAGCCTGGCGGCCCGCCATGCTTTGCTTGGCCACCCACCAGGCTGTGTCATGCCTCGCCCCCCTCCCCGACCCTACCATGTCCGCTGACACGAACGGCGCAACGAAACTAGAGCCTTCCATCAGCTGATACTGGTGAGAAACAGCAGCAGAGCGTGTGAACCCCCCACCCCCACCCCCCACCCCCGGACGGCCGAAGATGCTAGGCTTAACTCATTTTCTGGGGGAAACCCTGCAAGTGATACAAAAATAAAGTAATCACACAGAAGTTAATAAATGTAGGCATGCTTTATACATTAAATACTATTTTATAGTTGTGGCAAAAACAGCAGTGCCTAATTTAATGTGTTGTAACGTAATATTTATGGTACCATGGTCATTCGTAGAGGAGAAGCTTTGGAAATGTAGGGGCCTATATCTAAAATGTTAGATGGCATATCTGAGTTCTGGTTAAAACACTTTATATATCAATCATCGCCATTTATAATAATTAGACATGTAAGTGGAAGCCAAAACAAAACTAGCATTCCCAAACCGTTAAGAGTCCTGGGACATGTTCCTTCCCTACTAAAAGATAAAAAGACATCTCAGTTTTTTTTTTATTCCTGGTCTCCTTTGTCACATTTCTATAAGGTCTGAGTTACTTGAGTTAAATGTTACAGTTTGTCAGATGACAGTCTGCTGCCTCAGTTCTTTTATTTGTACATTTCAAATACATACATCCTTAAGATTACTTGGGGTTAACCAATCAGAAGTGTTTGGTTTGCCCCACCACCTTGCAAGCTCCAAGTTATTTCTTGGATACATTTCCACCCTACTGACCATTTTTGGCCCTGGTTGCTGCAGTCGAATAAGTCAAGGGTGAAAAATGGCACAGCAAACTACCCTGGACCCTGGAAAATGTTCCTGAAGAGGAAGATTGCCTAAAAATGAAATAAGACAGAGGAAGAAGATTGCAAGTAAATCTCTATTTAGCCAGCGGTGATGTTATTAAATAAATCCCATTGATCTGTCTGGTGGCACTCCACCCAAATGGTCATGCTGCAGGCAAAGATCACATGTGGTTATTGTCTTTACTGCCTCAAAAATAATTACCCCATTTTGGCCTTATAGCCCACACCATCTCCACAAAAGAAAGACCAGAATGTGTCAACCACAGACATCACAGGGATGAGAACACAAAACATAAATGAAACTGTCAGATGGCTAAATTTGGTCTTTAAGAGCAATTAAGTATTCATGCAGCCTGGTGTGATCAGCTGTGGTCACACTGGGCCAAACACAGCTGCCTTTAGCCAAGGATGGTCCCAGTTCAAAGGATAACGGTGCAGCTGGCTATCATCCAGATAGGTCACAGAGAGACCGAAGCTCGCCAAGACCAGACAGTGTGTCGGCGCTGCACAAGTCAGAGTGGCTTTCACACATTACAGGAGAAAGCCTATTAATAATACATCTCAAGTTTCCTCAACATAGAAGTTGGTCCATGTTAGTTTTACAACAAGTCCCGTAATGTGAAGATGTCTTGATACAGGAATTGTTGGTATGAGAGAGGCATAGGACTCTTCATAAATGGTAGAAAAATGATGATTAGCCAAATAAGAGTGTATAGATTAGTGTAAGGGTCCTTGGGCTTCAGGACGGACAAGAAATTAAAACATTATGATCCATTTTTTTTGGTTAATGTCTGTAAGATGGATTTGCGTCTATCTAGAGAGTTGTTAAAAGTCTTAAAACAAATGGAAAATACTAATCTTTTCTCAAAGGTGGCCTGTTTGTCTGATTGTTTTCTTTCTTCTGTCCATGTTTTCTGTTTGTGCCTCCCACCCAATCCCCCCACCGTCTTCTGATCCTTTGATGCAAGTCAGAGCCTTCAGATCTCTACACATTATTAGTTTCCTTCTCATCTCCCTCTCCCCAGGGAATCCTAACCCAGGGCTAGCTGGAGAATAAATGAATGTCTTACCCCGTTAGCAATATGGGACGCATAAGTTAGACAAGATGGTGATACCTTGGTTTCTGTAGCCATGAGCCTTTACCTTAACTTAATCACTACACTAGACCGCAGCTTGAGATGTTGCCCAAAACATGGCCAGAAAGCTTCACACACATCCCAACTTTCTTTGTAACACTCCTGTAAAACATCACTTTACCACAGAAGCTGTTCCTGGTGATTAACTGAAAAGCAAAGCCAAATCTCTGTTAAAACCACGCCAGCCTTTCCTGTCTCCTGTCATGTGGCCCTGGACCCAGCTGGATGCCAAGCCAACACCACATGTGACCACCTGGCAGACCATAAAGAGACATGGAGGACCTGGTTCCCCCTGGCAACGGGGACTTGACTGAATATGCATCGTCATAAATTACCACTCAGATCACATCAAAACTGCAGCCATATGCCATTAGCAGCAGGAGGGCGTGGCCGTGATCCGATTACAATCTGAAAACACGCACGAAGAGGCGATCT